GCTGACACGTCAACTCCCAAATATCTGAAAACATTCACTTCTTCCATACCCCTCCCCTCCAATTTGATATCCAATTTTTCTTTACCTAAATCATTTGATAACTTCATCACCTTACTCTTTTCTATGTTCACTTTCAACTTTCTACCTTCACACACTCTCCCAAACTCGCCCACTAACCTTTGCAATTTTTTCTTTAGTATCTCCCATAAGCACACTATCATCAGCAAAAAGTAACTGTGTCAATTCCCATTTTGTATTTGATTCCCCATAATTTAATCCCACTCCTCTCCTGAACACCCTAGCATTTACTTCTTTTACAACCCCATCTATAAATATATTAAAACAACCACGGTGACATTACACATCCCTGTCTAAGACCTACTTTTACCAGGAAGTAGTCTCCCTCTCTTCTACACACCCTAACCTGAGCCTCAATATCCTCATAAAAACTATTTACAGCATTTAGTAACTTACTACCTATTCCATATACTTGCAACATCTGCCACATTGTTCCCCTATCCACTCTATCATATGTCTTTTCTAAAACCATAAATGCAATGAAAACTTCCCTACCTTTATCTAAATACTGCTCGCATATATGCTTCAATGTAAACACTTCATCTACACATCCCCTACCCACTTTAAAACCTCCTTGCTCATCTGCAATCTACACTCAGTCTTTCCTCTAATTCTTTCAATAATAACCCTAACGTACACTTTTCCTGGTATACTCAGTAAACTAATTCCTCTATAATTTTTACAATCTCTTTTGTCCCCCTTCCCTTTATATAAAGGAACTATACATGCTCTCTGCCAATCCCTAGGTACCTTCCCCTCTTTCATACATTTATTAAACAAAAATACCAACCACTCCAACACTATATCCCCTTTTAACATTTCTGTCATGATCCCGTCAGTTCTAGCTGCTTTACCCCATTTCATTCTACGTAATGCCTCGCGCACCTCCCCCACACTCACATCCGGCTCTTCTTCACACCTAAAAGATGGTATACCTCCCTGGCCAATGCATGAAATTACCACCTCCCTTTCTTCGTCGACATTTTAACCCTTTGACTGTCGAAGGGCCCAATCCTGAAGTTGCTCCTGGTGTCGCAAAATATTCGAAAAAAAAAAATTATTTTTTCTTATGAAATGATAGAGAATCTTTTCCCGATTGTAAAGACACCAAAAAAACGAAATTTGATGGAAAACTGACGGAATTACGCTCTCGCGAAGTTAGCGACTTCGGCGATATTTAAAAATCGGCAATTTCGCCCACTTTGAGCCCTATTTTCGGCTAATTCTTTTATTCCAGTCAACCAAACTCATAACTATTTCTTCAGAACTCTATTTTTTCTATCGATTGAGCACAAGAAACTGCCCATTTACCGATTTCAACTACCCAATAACATGGTCAGAAATTTGCAATTTGGCCAATTTCACGAAAATTAAAAAATACGACAATTTCAAAATAAGGTCCAGAATGAACAATGCAGACATTCCTGGCTCTAAAATAAGATTTTCTTTGTTCATCAGTCATGTCTCCAGGTCCCTGTGATATTACTCTTGCTTTTTATTTTGAAATTTTATTCAAACAAAAAATAGAAGATTTACTGTTATGCAGACTACTGCAATACTGTAATAATTGTAAAAATTACATCAACCCATTCATGACTGCTATTAGAATGGCTATTTGGACATTTATTGGACAATGACATCATTTGTTTACTTTTGAACATCGGCAAAAATCAAACATTTCCTGTACTTTGTGCTCCATTTCCAGGTTCTTTTTATAGTAAAATTAATCAAAATCACCTCCATTTCTATAATATAGTTTCCATTCTATCAAATGAGACCATGAAAACGAGAATACAACCACAAATACTATACGAAAATAGACCACAAAGTCGGCATTTTAATTAAAAAAAAACGGTCGGAGTTTTTTTTTTCTCGTTATGCACTGCGTGCTCCAGGATTTTTTTTATGTGGTGCACACTGACCACACAGACCCATTCTTTCACATGTGGGCCTACTAGCTTTCTCCTGCCTGATTTGAAGCCGCTAGAATTTATGAGTATATATACGTCAAACACGGTACCTCACAAACGTATATATACGGCCGCGACAGTCAAAGGGTTAAAGTTCCTTGAAATATTCCCGCCATCTACCCAATAGCTCCATCTCCCCATCTACTAACTCCCCTACTCTGTTTTTAACTGACACATCCATTCGTTCCCTGGGCTTTCTTAACTTGTTTAACTCCAAAATTTTTTCTTATTTTCAATAAAATTTCTTGACAGTGCCTATCCACTCTATCATCTGCTCTTCTTTTGCACTCTCTCACCACTCTCTTCACCTTTCTTTTACTCTCCATATACTCTTCTGCTTTGTAAAAACCTCTCATAAGCTATCTTCTCTTTTATCACACCCTTTACTTCATCATTCCACCAATCACTCCTCTTTCCTCCTGCACCCACCCTCCTATAACCACAAACTTCTGCCCCACATTCTAATACTGAATTTTTAAAACTATTCCAACCCTTTTCAACCCCCTCACTACTCATACTTGCATTAGCCCACCTTTCTGCCAATAGTTGCTTATATTTCACCCGAACTTTCTCCTCCCTTAGTTTATACACTTTCACCTCTCACTTACTCGTTGTTGTCATTTTCCTCTTGTCCCGTCTACCTCTTACTCTAACTGTAGCTATAACTAAATAATGATCCAATATATCAGTTGCCCCTCTTTAAACATATACATCCTGGAGCCTAACCACCAACCTTTTATCCACCAATACATAATCTAACAAATTACTTTCATTACTTGCTATATCATACCTTGTATATTTATTTATCCTCTTTTTCATAAAATATGTATTACTTATTACCAAACCTCTTTCTACACATAGCTCAGTTAACCCTTTCAGGGTTGGTGCCATACTAGTACGGCTTGAATGCCAGGGTTGGTGCCGTACTAGTACACATAAATTCTAGCGCCTTCCAATCTAGTGAGAGAAAGCTGGTAGGACCTACATTTGAAAGAATGGGTCTATGTGGTCAGTGTGCACAGTAAAAAAAAATCCTGCAGCACACAGTGCATAATGAGAAAAAGAGAACTCCGACCGTGTTTTTTGCTTTAAAACAGTGGCTTTGCAGTGTATTTTTGTATGCTATTTATGGTTGTATTCTTGTTTTCCTGGTCATATTTTATAGAATGGAAGACATATTACAGAAACTGAGATGATTTTGATTGGTTTCACAATGAAAAGCACCTTGAAATTGCACTCCAAGTAGCAGAAATGTTCTATTTTTGCCAGAGTTCAAAAGTAAACAAATCATGTCACACATCTAATACACGTCAACTGGTGAGTCTAATATTCTTTCACAAGTGCGCTGATAGTATTATTTATACCATTTCTACACTAATGCAGTAGTCTGCATAAGAGTAAATATTCTATTTTTTTGTGAGAATAAAAATTCAAAGTGGAAAGCAAAAGAAATGTAAGAGAGGCCTGGGGATGTCACTAATGAACAGAAAAATGTTATTTTTGTGCCAAGAATGTCTGTCTTTTTGATTCTGGACCCTATTTGGAAACTGGCATCTTTAGAAATTTGTGTGAAATTGGTAAAATTGCCAATTTCTGATCACTTTATTGGATAGTTAAAATTGGTAAATGGGAGGTTTCTTGTAATCATTCATTAGAAAAAATGGAGTTCTAGCGAAATAGTTACGATTTTTGTTGACTAGTACACTGGAATTGGCCAAAAATAGGGCTCAAAGTGAGCGAAATCGCCGATGCGTAAACATCATAGAGACTGCTAACTTCGTGAGAGCATAATTCCGTAAGTTTTCCATCAAATTTCATACTTTTGGTGTCATTATGATCAGGAAAAGATTCTCTATCTTTTCATAAGAAAAAATAATTTTTTTTCCGATAAATTTTCGGCCGAGAACAAGTTTAGGAGAGGGCCTCTTGACTCTGAAAAGGTTAAAAGGTACATCTAATTTTAATGATAAATGAACATTGCATACCCTTATTGAAGACTTGCTGGCATATTGAAGAAGGCGAGGAGGGGAGAGGGAGTTGAAGTTATTGTTTGGAAGGGAAATCCGTAAGGACTTAAGATATCAAAGCCCTTTCTGAGGTTACTTCCCTTCTTTGTCTTTTGCTGGCACTGGACCCCTGTTGCACTAAAAATCTGTCCAGAGAGCTCTGTTTCTTGCGTCTCTTTAAGATTTGCCTAAAATGAGACAAGGTATTGCCTCATTCTTGAATTCTATCTTGTTTCTCACCTTCTTTCCAAAGGGCTGCCACTAGGAACTTTCTTTGGGCCCACGGTAGCTTATTTCACAGTCGCAGTCAGTAAACAATAACAAAAATTGCAAAATGTTTTGGATGAATGATCACTCAACCAATGATAGACCCAGACTGAGACACATACATATGAGAGTGGCAGCATCCCAGGCGGGCGAACATGTCTGATATGTATGATTTCTGGATGGAGGTACGAAATCCAGACCAAAATTTCGCTCAAATAAGTGTTCTAAATCCAAATTCTACAATATTCGAACTGTATGACAACTGAAGTTTCACTGTATTATTATTTTTGCCATCATTTAATAAAAATTGCTTACCTCAGCAGGTAATTATAGAGTAACCGCTCATTTGCAACACAGGATGGCAAATTGCTGTGTGCCACTCTTTTCCTGTTGTCATCTGCCACTCTCTTCCACAAGCTCTGAATTTGACACTGACTGCTAAATTCATTAACTCTTACTACCTTTCTGACTAGTCTTAGTTTTTTTATTAATTCCCTTACTTTATCCTTAAGATCTATATATACCCTGCTAGTTTCTAGAACATTGAAACACCTTTAAGATTTGTTGAGGTAAGGAATGCAAGCTGCAAGTGTTGAGTGCAAGGAGCTGTGCTCATGCCTCTGCAAGTGACTAGTGGAGGAATGACATCCAGAAGATTTGCCATGTGTCACCATACAACATCCACTAATGTCACATGTCACGTCAGATGATCTTAACATTTCTAAAACTTTTTTATTTTATTTTCAGGGAAGTTGTGAGTCGCCTGGTTTACTCCATGATACAGTTCCTGCAGTCACAGCTGGAAGGAGGGACAGGTGGAGGAGGACTCTCTGAGGAAGGCACAGAGAGTGTTGAAGTTGCTATACAGTGCCTTGAAACTGCCTATGGTGTGTCTGCAGCACAGAGTGACCTCGCAGTATCCAAGAGTCTCTTCCAAATATTTTCTGAAGCCATCAAAGGAGAGGTTGTAACCTTTTTACTTTTTATTATACTAACTAATTTGCACTAAATTACCATTTGAAGGAGATGCCCTGTTAATGAAGGGCTCTTGATCTGTTAAATTATAGCTACCTACCACTTCCTTGGATCATGCCTAATTGCTTCTCCTTCTGTAGGTGCTGTATGACCCCTGTGGGTTAGCACTTCCCCATGAAAATAATTAACCCTTTGAGGGTTGGAACCCCTGATCTGAAACTTGCTCTCAGGGTAAGAGAATTTTCAAAAATACTTTTTCTTATGAAATGATAGAGAATCTTTTTCCAAAAGTAATGAGACCAAAAGTACAAAATTTGATAGAAAACTAATGGAATTACGCTCTTGGAAAGTTAATGGTCTCGGTGATATTTAGACATCAGCTATATCACCCACTTTGAGCCATATTTTATGGCCAGTTGCGTTGTTCCAATCAGCCAAACTCATAGCTATTTCGCTAGTATTCCATCTATTCTGTTGATTGAATATAAGAAACTGCTCATTTACCTATATCAACTACCCAATAAAGTGATGAGAAATCAGTAATTTGCCCAATTTCACACAAAATTCAGAAATTTCCAATTTCAAAATAGGGTCCAGAATAAACAGTGTAGACATTATTGGCACTACAACATTTCTTCTGTTCATTAGTTATGTCCTTGGGCCTCTCCTGTATTGCACTTACTTTCCATTTTGAATTTTTATTCACATAAAAAATAAAAGATTTATGTAGACTACTGCATGTAGACTACTGCATTATTGTAATAATTTTATGAATAATGTCAGCACATTTGTGGACACATATTAGACAGACCAGTTGGACACGTATTGGACAAGTGACTTAATTTGTGTACTCTGGAATATCAGCAAATATTGAACATTACCCCTACTTTGAACTCAATTTCAAGTTACTTTCAGTCCTGAAACTAATCAAAATCATCTCTATTTCTGTAATATATCTTCTATTCTCTCAAGTGAGACTAAGAAACTGAGAATACAATAATAAAAACCACATGAAAATACACTGCAAATTTGCTGTTTTAAACCAAAAATCCTACAGGATTTTTTTATATGGTGCACACTTACTGCATAGACCCATTTTCTCATATCTAGTCCCAAATTGAGCACTCACAGCTTATCATTGTGTGCTGAGCTCGTGGCTTCAGTGCCGTAGAACATCGGGGCCTACCCTTAAAGGTTTAAAAAGAATTTAAAAGGAACTCTGTAAACTTATTTGAAACTAATATTGTTATTAATGTGTGTGTCGTATATAAATGTAGAAAGAAATTCAATAATATATTTTACAGTTGCATGTTTCAATAATGAAAAAAGTTTCATAATGTCTTCTTAGAGATTTGTTTGTCATTTGTTAGTAATTGATTACCAGTAAGGTGGTATACAATAGTTGTATTTTTGTGTATCTTAACCCCCCCCCACACACAAAATTACCATAACTGTTGACTAAATCTGGATTATCATTGTTTTTCAGTATTAGTGCATTAATTACTATACAAGAAATTTTCTTGCTACATAGTTTTGTGGGAAATTTTCATCATTATTCAGTTATACTGTATAGTCTTTTCTTTTAATATATTTCTCATATTGACACAGTACAGCAACTCAATAGTAATGCAATATGTTCTGACCTCTCACCATTCCTTTTAGCCATTTTGTCCAGGTACTGTGTATGTTTATTGCCTTCCTCTTCCCAGCCTCAAATAACTCTGAGTACACACGTACTTCATTCTTCTCCCTGCATGTTCTTTTGGAATTGCTTAGTCTTAAAAAATTATCTTGTGCAGCTGAGGTTAATGAAAGGGTTTGGAAGGGTATGCACAAAAAGGAAGTCGAAAGTAAATGCAATTGAAGTTTATACAAATAGTAACAGTACTGCAGTGCTATCAGCATTAACAATAAATTTATATAACATGCAGCACTCGCATTGTAAAATAAAAGGACACAGTGCGACTAATGTGACATTTCATTGTGGCAACGTTTCACTCTCCAGGAGCTTCGTCAAGCCGTTACAAACAATACATGGAAAGAGAGTGTATATATAGGCATAGAGTGAGGTGTAATACTAGTGGTAGTAGCAAACACTGAACAAGCAAAAGAATACTTTACTTTAAAAAAAAGTTAAAAATTGAATTTGTCCAATGAAATATGAAAAATAATAAAGGGCAAAATAATACGAAACAGAGAAAGATTAACACTCACAGTAAGGCAGGAACACAACACATCAATATATGCACAATACTATGAGAATTTTCTTGCAATGAGGCTTGAAAGTGACAAAATTTGGAAAATAATTCTCTTGCTTCAAACAAAATAATGACACTATTGTCTGTGGAGATAAGACAAATTAGACACTGGCTAAATGAAAATAATTAACACAAGAATGTTCAACACAGAAAAAATGGCAAATAAATGAATAAAAAAAAATTAGCAAGGACACAATTGCTGGGAGAAAAAAAAAATAACTGAGACAACACCAAGTTATGATGCAGAATATAACAAGTTACTGAATTACTTCACTTCATAACTTACTTGGCAAGGAACACAATACTGTGAATACAAGGTAATTATAAAGTGTAACCACTAGTTTATTCTGCTTATATATTGCACACAACAAGGAAAAATATAAAAGTACTTATTTCATGTATAAAAAAAAATTACAACACAGGCATAAAAATAAAGCACAAAAATTTAAACACTGAAGAAAGAAAAAAAAAATATTGCAAACAGAATATAATGAACACAGTCTAATCAAGAGTCACTGAATGTTACTAAGAAATCACTGGAAAGAAATGTCACTTTGAAATCACTGAAAAAATTGTCTCAACACTCACGAATGTCTCTATAAAAATATTATCACTGTAGCGGTGTTAGTGGAGAATGAGGGTAGTGATGGGAGGTGGAGGAAAGGTTAGTTGTAGCCGGCGCGGCACTCCACTACTCTCAAACACGTTGAATTTGTGCTTAAATAGATGATAGATGCACACAGAAGGCTTTTACATTGGCGTATAGGGACGAAGGGACAATCTTGCATCTTGTCCCCCTATGTGGTCCGTAAAATATGGTGCTAGGACCTGATATAAAGGTGAAAAAAAAAAACAGTGTTGGTAGGTGTGGGTGGCTGAGGCAGCGCGCTGAGACCCCGTGTGGTGACTGGGCCTCCGGGATGGGATAAGCGGCGTAAGCCACGTGCTCTGGGGAAACGCACGAAAATATTCTTAGCTAGGCTGGCTTAAAAACCACAATATACCACGACACCACAGGGATGGTACGAACACTCAGGATGGCTTGGAACTTAAAGCACAGAGCGCTGGAGAAGGTTGTACCCACGTGGCTTGCTTGAGTACTGGGTTAAGTCGCCTGGGTTAGTTGGCTGGCTTAACCCGTCACACAGACTGGCTTGAGAACTTGTAACGATGAGTACAGCAGGGGTGGAAAGCTGGCTTAGCAGGCAAGGCTGGTAATTAAGACAGGCTGGATGGTGTAGGGTTGGACTTCCCCCCACAACTGGCTTGGTGGCTTGGCTTAATTTGCAAACTCGGGTCAACCCCTCGGAAGTAATGCAAATAAGCAAATAAAACGCTAAGACACAAAGACTGACCAGGAAGTAGTGCAGAGAGGCTGGCGAGTGCTGGGTCGGAGGAGCAGGCTGTTTAGCTAGGCCACCATGCATCACGCACACAATGTCCTCGTCGGCTGAGAGAATTTATCACCAGACATCTACGTAAATATCAAATTTACGCGCTCACCGCTGGCACCATTTATTGGGAGGGTTCACGGAGACGTGATGGTTGGAGTTAAACACACTTGTTGGATGGTAACACTTATATTAGCAGAGTGTGAAGGAGCCCAGCCTGCCATGTGTTGCCTGTTGTAGACCTAAGCGTGGAGTGAGAACGATCACGGGAGCACAGCACTCACAACGGCATCACGTGACGTCACACAAGCTAGTCACTGAGCCTAGCAAGGGGTCATGTATGTAAAACATATGGATTGTACTATGATATTCAGATAACATATACATATACAGGGGATCAGCAACTATGCTGACAGACAGGCAGCATAGGCTGTCTATGCAGACAGTACAGGCTGTCTACATTCGCTTGGCCATGCACCACCATGGTCGTCCTCGACCATGACTAACGGAAAAAAAACTCAAGTCTCTCTCTTGCAGGAACAGGACACAGAACACAAAATAAAAACATATACAGGAAGGCCCCGCTTTACGGCGTTTCACTTTACGGCGTTCCGCTAATACGGACATTTCAAATTATGACCAAAACTCGCTATACGGCTCCCCCCACCTGACTTTCTAATACGGTCACCGTGCCCCACCCTGTTTGTTTACATTCTCCATGAGCTCAGTAAGCACTAAGTCTCTCCATTTTGTCTGGAAACTCCAAAATTTCAAATGTTTTTAAAAGTTATTTCATATTTTATATATACTCTGCTAATTATACTTATGTATACCTGTACCTAAATAAACTTACATACTGTGCTGGCATGCAGGTACACATTAAAATTGGTAAGTGTCTTATGTCTCCAGACGTCATATTAGTAATGATAATAATAATCATCGAGTCATTTAAATGTCGTATATTACGTTAATATACACATTTTCATTAATCCATCCATGATATTTTTTTCAAAATTATATAATAAACACGATGCATAACATATAAATAAGATAAATACACCCCACAGTAGAATAAATAAACATAAATGTGAGATGTGGTAGCAGACGACTTGCACAAGTGACGCCATATTAGAAATGATAATAATAATAACAATACTCACCGAGTCTCATTAAATGTCGTATATTACGTTAATATACACATTTTCATTAATCCATCCATGATATTTTTTTTCAAAATTATATAATAAACACGATACATAACATAAAATGATGATAAATACACCCCACAATAGAATAAATAAACATAAATATAAGATGTGGGAGCCACATAACTTGTACAA